ATCCGTAATTATTATCTAAAATGTTTATTTGGCATGCCATACTCGAATGAAGTGCGGACGTGAAAGAAAGCACTCTTCACAAAAACGTGAACGGAGATTACATTTCGGTGATTTTGTCATTTATAAAACATAATACGCGAATCTGAAGATCTGTATTAAAATTGAATGTTGACACCGATATCGATCTGTTGGATGTAGAATTTATTTTCAAAATAGGTGTTTGTTTAGGATATACCATTTCCACGGAGATTACATGCTTAATAAATCTCTGCAGTTTTCAACTTGTTTAGTTTTCAAGACTGACATGATTTGGAATAAATGACGATTTAACAAAACTATTTATGGTAACCTTATAAACAAAATTATGTATGGTAACCTTATAATCAAATTTAACTCATATCACACTCTATGTTGTGCTAAATATTTAGACTTGCTTGGTCTTCTATCCGTTAACGGGAATTACAGGTTTACGAAGAAAACATTATATAATGACGGCCGGTACGATCACTATCGTTGTGCAATATGTACTAAACTTTATAAAAATTAAAAATATAGATAATAAAGAAATATAAAAATCTCAGATATAACAAGCTACGGGTATATAACTCGAAATCGTTAGTTTTGCTTTGTTACGGTGGGACAAATGGGGGGGAAGGGGGGTGGGGGGGGGGGGGTAGGAGGTGTCATGGAATCCCGAGGTCCCGAATTTAAAAAAAATTAAATCCCGACATCCCGAAATTCGGAAAAAGAATTCCCGGATCCCGAAAGGATCAATCCCGAAATCCCGAGCTTAAAACACCCGATCCCGGAGTCCCGGTAAAGGTCCTACCCCCCCCCCCCCCCCCACCTACAAATCAGCGTCATAAAATGGGCGCGTTACCGGAGAACCAGTGAGTAGCGCAAAGCTAAAAAAACCTGCGTTTCAGGAGTAAGTGCATGGGACCTATTTGTATCATGTTTTATATCTGGTTCTATTGCCAATGTTATTTCATTGATACTGTGTCTATCCAGTCTGTATCTGGATATAATATCCATTTCATTTTCAAAATGATCAAACGAAGAAAGTGTGGTTCTAATATTGAAGATTCTTCTTCGTCTTCTAACATTTGCGGCATCTTGATCGAGAATAAAGCCATCTTAGATATGGTTTAATTCATATTCGCGGAAAAACTACGATCGAGATACGACTGAGTATAGCTGTAGTAAGTTACGCCAGGATTTACGTATTATTTACGCTCATCTTAACTTACGACGGCTTTGTGAAACGGCTGTAAAACCTACGATTTATTTACGATGAACGTACGATGACACGTAGACTTACGAAGGCTTTGTGAAACGGTACCCTGGACCTTTTTCAACAATTTTTTACTTTAAGTTCTGACTTCGGTCTTATCCCATGTGTACAGTTTCAGTTTAAGGTATGGTTTGACACTAGACCTTTTTTTAGCCCCTTCCAAATATGCATGTGCCTTCCTCCGTCATGACATATTACATGTCATTGAGTCTTTGTTCCTGTATTTCATTTTGTTTTTGTTGTAAATATAAATCAGTCTGTATGTTTGCATATTTGCTTTTTTTTTACACTCGTCGTTTTGGAAATTAAAAAGAAGATGTGGTATGATTGCCAATGAGACAACTCTCCACAAGAGACCAAATGACACAGAAATTGACAACAATAGGAGAAGACGTTACTAAGTTGAAAAACTTGTGTCTAATCCATTTGTCATTTTTGAACAATAAAATATGTTTAAACTAACAACTATAGGTCACCGTACGGCCTTCGAAGCTAGAATACAGTGTTGCTATTTACTGAAGTTACTCTTAGACAAGTAGCTCTGTACTGTTTTCTTGATGTTGGAGGTCCATAATATTTTTTTGAAGGTGTTGTCCATGTACCATTTTGTAGATCGTACTTCTTGGGCATATGTTTTATAGCGACACGCAACTAGAACTTTGGCTATTTTTCAGTTTAAGTTGTCGTCAGCTAGCAATTTATCTATGCTTTTTTCGGGCTGATTACAGATGTTGTTCAATAGTCCAAGTACTCGGATATGTAGTTGGGCTTCTACTGGTAGTATTCCGTTTAGGATGTTGATAGTAACATCTGCTACATAAGTTGGTAATGAGAGTATAAGCTTATTAGTAGCTTTTTCTGGAAGTTTTCGATTAATTCTGGTGAACTTGTTTTTGGTAGTTTTAGCTCTTATCCATAGAGAAGTACTGGAGATACGTAACACGAATGACCGAATGACACTTGGAATGACCGTATGATACATTAAAATTTAATCTTAGTTTAAACAGTATTTATTAATGAAAAATTTTACAAGAATAAAGTATTAAAATATTACATGAAGTTTTAATCTTAGCACATATATGTGAATTTTAAACATTGATTTATAAATAATAGTACATTAAAAGTGTATGTTATAACTAAAACATGATTTATTTAAGCAGGCAAGTTCATAAAATGTTAATATAATTTCGTGGATACATCTGTTCCTGATTGCATATATACGATCGCTCAATGTGTTCAAGTTGGACTACCAAAGTGGGGCCCTCATTTGTAAAATATATTATAACTCACTGACACTCCATGAATTGAAATGTATTTCATTTAACAGTCAAAAAAAATTATTTTAAGTAATAATTTTGCGGAACGTTTTAAAACCGCTCAGGGCCTCCTGAGTGCACTCAGGACATTTTAGTGGGCGTTGAGGGTATGCGTCCGATAAATTGTTTTTTTTTTTTATCTTAATATTTTTGTTTGAATAAAATTAATTGAATATTTTCAGAAGTTATTGAAGTGTTTATTAACACGCGCCGTTATTTGGAATATGTCATGCATGACCGATGATCATATTCGATACCAATTATCATGTTGATTAGGTCTATACAAATACTTAATTAGGTCGTCTGATCTTTAGTAATTAGTGAAGGTAATCAACACATACTAGTTAACCAAGCAAGAATGGTTTTCTTAGAACAAAAATAAAGATAAAAGTTGCAAAAAATGTTAAATAAACGTTTCGTTTTGTTTGTAATAATATTAAAGCCATTTGAGAATTTTAAGAAATCCATTCAGTTTATTTAATTTGAAAACGTTAACAAATATAGATCTAATTCATTGCAAAGTGTGGCGTCCTTCAGGGATCAAAACCCCGTTTAAACAGCGTTTGTTTAAAGGTTAATTATGCATTGGCCACGTGTCGTTAAAAAACAAACTGATTAACAATAATAGAGTTGTAAGGTAATAAATATTTCAGGTATTGGGCATTTGTCATTATCATGATTAGATTATCTAATTGACAACAAACACTTTATACAACTTACCAAGTAAGTACTAAAATGTAACACTTTGCAATAAATGGATGATAAATTCCTTCATAATATTTTACTCTTTTAATAGGGAAAATCAAGGAAAGAAAAACGGCGCGTGATATTATTTTTGTAAAGATTATAACTTTCTAAAAGGAAACTCATTAGAACTTCGAAATGGTGTATTTCAACTTTGCTTAACTTATTTCAACATTTTAGTTATTTGTCCTAGTTAATTGTGCGGATGCCAGATTTATGTAACATATTTCACTATCTTCATAAAGACAAATACGGATATAACATTCAAATTCTCTTAAAAAAACCTCTCAAGACAAACTTCTAAATTCTAGATCCCTCTGATCTTCATTATTATCGATACACTTGTCATACATGTACATCCTGAATAAATCAATTGTTATTTTTATCAAATTTGGAAATTTAAAACTTCTAAAACGTTTCCCGTAAGAGCGATATCTTTCATTCTTCTCTATCTGTATAGATGCACCATTGTATCTATATCTTATCCCTTATGACCATGAAATTTTCCTCTAATGTGTCGTGGCTTTCTATTGGCTACTTTTTTTTCAGTTAATCGATTTTCTCAAAATTCTCAGATAATCCCGGATTATCTCAGAATTTTCAGATAATCCCGGATTTTCTCCAGTTAATTATTTATCTAATTTTGTGAGGAATATAATGAACTATCTCAAATATGCATTAAGCTGAGAAAATCCCGGTTTATCTTAAAATTCTGAGATAAACCGGGATTATCTGAAAAAAATCGAGATAATCCCGGTTTATCTGAGCTTAATGTAAAATAGTGAGATAATCCTAGTTTATCTGAGATAATCCTAGTTTATCTGAGATAATCTAGGATTATCTATAAAAGTGGTTCAGGCGTGCCATAGATATCGGTTTTTACAACTTTTTGTTTATTTAACCGCACAGTGCCCATTTATTTTCCCTTCACTTTCTCTCAGTGCCCATTTATTTTCCCTTCACTTTCCCTCCCTCTCTCTCATACCTCTAGCTCGTTTTTATTTGTTATTTTTTTTTTATGATTTTTTTTTTTAACAAAACGATGTTGAAGCCTTGGCTTCCGAGCTTCCGCCTAGCTACGCCACTGGCAAGGTCTGCTTACCTTACTGGAGCACCTGAGATCACCGTTCGTGTTGCTCAGTCTTTGGTTTTCTTTGTTATGTTTAACTTTGTATACTGTTGACTTTTGAACGTTTTTCTTTTTTGCCATGGCATTGTCAGTTTTTTTTTTTTCGACTTTGAATTTGAATGTCCTTCTGGTACCTTTCGCCTCTCTTTTTCGTGTGATATATTGGAAGGTAAAAAAGAACATATTTACCATTGAAAAATAGCGATTCACTGGTAATAATAAAGATAAACCAATAAACAAAATACACAACCACAAAGTTAAAATCCATAATCAGCAAAAACATCTTTTGAACCAAATGGTACGCCATACATTGTATACACTGCATAGTTACGCTATTTCTGTTTCTAGAGGTGACAGCAGTACGCTTCCATATTTTATTTTTACTATCAATAAGTTATTATTTATACATAATCTATAAATAAATAAATTATTGATTTACAGCGCGTTTACTAACTGCTTAACAGTATATAAAATGGCTAGACGGTTGGGAAATTACTCAACACATTTCAGGTAAGAAAACAAGGATACTATAGCTAATAATTTTGTATTTTGCATAAAGCGTTAAAAATGTACACGCTCATAAGCATGATAAGATGGATAAATATATGTCATTTATTTGAAACGTAAGATTAATGTAAATCAATACACTCTCATAAGACGGATTAAACGAAAGTTTAATGTAAATCAATACACGTGTTTTTTCAAACAGACATCATATTAGAAATTATTGTATGGCGCGCCTAATTCACAGGCAGTTAACAAATATTTCTTTAATTTTAAAAGTACAGTATATATACTTTTAATTTGAAATTAACGATTATGCTAAATATAACTTCACGTGAATGGTATGCAGTTCTCAGTCGACTTACGTTACTAGGTAAAAAGTAAAACATAAATGTGAACTACTTTTTTATTTTTATATACATTTAAATTTTAAAGGTTTACAGAGTAATTCATCAAAGTGTTGAGCACTCACAGAGACCAAGAAATGTGTGAATCAGTGATGAATAACACTGGATCACTATTACATCGGCTTAAAACAGAACCAGAATACAGATTAAGATTTCTGACATTTCTGTGTTTGGTCTGGTCATTCTTCATCTTGGTGAGTGTTCTTTTAATTTTAAAGAAAAATCAAATACAGTAATTCAAGGGAAAAAAAAACACAGTCATTAATTCCATATCAGAATTATACGATGTTCGTCAATAAAGGGTCTAACTACTGGTGTCATGATGAAAAATAATTCTGTTAAAAGTTCTATTTTTCATTCACATCTATATTGCGTAAATGTCAATCTAGCTGCAACCTAACAAACATTAAACAGAAAACAGTTAACTTCTTTGTAAATGTTGCAACACTCAGGAAGTTTTGCAAGCCAGGCCAAAGGGAAAACTGCTGGGAACGTTATACATAAATACATAAAAACAACAAGAAACAATTGTGATATTATCTTGCCATTTGATTAGAAAGGATACGCAATAGATATTCATAAAATAGAGATCCATGCAATATAATACAAGGACATGACCTGTTTAAACATCATTTTTTGCTATATTTTATCACGACAGTTTCTGGTAGGTTATTTCAAGTCGTCCCACTGTAAACAAGATTAAGGTAGCAGGTATAAAGTAGATAGAGTAAAATTTTAAGGCACGTAATTTCTTCTTTCTTCTTCGTATATTCTTTGCGAAACCTGAAAAAAACGCAGACATTTTAACTGTGGTACTCGAAAAGTGAAATAGAAAGAAATTACTTGTCGTGTGTGCTAGAAACTTGCATATATTATTCAAGATAAGCTAGACGATTTAGTACAAACTGATATAATTTTTAAAAAAGAGAAAATTGATTTGATCGTATGGAATTATACTCGAAAAAAAATCAGGTCTGCACTATTAAAAAAGAAACGGACTGATTCACACGAAAACAAAATCTCAACAGGACGACATACTTATAATTATTGTGATTTATAGATCCAATACATCTAAAATGTTGACTAACTATTTTCTGTTTTAATGACTTGTAAAAGTCAGATTGTTAGTACTCCAGAACATTCATAATAAACACGATTTAGATCTATTTTGATAAGATTAAAATATATTTAAGTCCGATTTTTGCGTAATTTATGTGCGTACAGTGTCCGAGTAACACATTTCAAATGATTTTTTTTCCTATTTTCTGATCGCCTTGATATCTGCAAAAGGGACTTTTTTAGAACGTAAATAATATAACTAACGAAAAATCGTAGCTTCTTTATTATTATATGTAACATTTTTTCTACAAACTAAATTCAATCAGCGTACATGAAGTTCATGTCCATCCTGTTACCGCTACTTAAACCAGCCGTTAATTTTTTCTCCCTATGAATATTGAACTAGTCAGTGTTGATTTCAAAAGCGCAAAGTAACCTTAACATTTAACACAGCACGTTTCTTGTATAACAGTGTAGAGAAAAGAAATTTCAAGACATTTAGTGGAAAAAAATAGTGGGTACTTTTTTGTCATGTCTATGCTGTTACAAACATATAGATTAATTACAGCAATATTATACTTGTAAAAAGTGCAATAACGTGTTGGAAGCAAAAATCACAAAAAAAAAACATTATCACATCATCAAAGGGAGTAGTTATTTCACAACAGCATTCAAAAATGAAGAAATTTGTCTATCCTGTTACTTTGGTTGCTATGGTTACAGTAACAGGATAGACAATAGTAGACAGAAACGTCTTTAAAAAGTTTATAATAACATATAGTTGCACACATAATGAAATGTTTCGTTGTTTGAATTCATCTAAAGGTTAGGAATCTGATGTTCAGTAGTTGTCGTTTGTTGGTATGGTTCATAAGTGTTTCTCGTTTCCCGTATTTTATATTGATTAGACCGTTGGTTTTCCCATTTGAATGGTTTTACACTAGTAATTTTTAGGGCCCTTTATAGCTTACTGTTCGGTGTGAGCCAAGGCTCCGTGTTGAAGACCGTACTTTGACCTATAATGGTTTACTTTTATAAATTTTGACTTGGATGGAGAGTTGTCTCATTGGCACTCATACCACATCTTCTTATATCTAATAACGTCTTAATCTTCGCAATTTAGCATTTGCAGGTGCAATACTGCTCTCGGTAACAGGATAGACAAAAAGGTAACAGGATAGAACTTAATATAGTGATATATCATTAACGTACGTTCCTGTTACCAATAAAATAAAGACAAAAGTAAACCAACGTGCGAGGGATTTACTTGATGTTGGGTTTATTTGAAAGAGAGAACAAATGCTGATCATTTTTAATTGCTATCTTAGACTTGCATTACTGGTGGTTATTTTTATAACCTTTGAAAACCAATTTTTAGAGGCATTTTTCAGTACAACATGGAAAATTGGCAAATAATCTATTATTTCACAGAATGAATATATATAGAAGTTTTTACTCTTAAAAACCACCTTATTGGCTACAAAAAACAAGCTTAAAATTTTATCGAAACATAAGTTCTAAATAACCCGACATTTCTTTTGAACATGGTAACAGGAGAGACAAAATATTGCACCGCCTATCAGAAAAAGTTTCAATATATTCTTGAATCTTTTTATATGTTGTTCTATAAGTACTTTTTGTTTTGATTTGCTTATGACGAGGGTTGTTTGAATAAGTAACTTTAAATCAATTTTGCAATTTCAAAATTCGACATTTTTTGAAAATGACCCATATATGATAACTGCAAGAACTTTATAATTTAAACTGTCTTATAAGAAGTGTCAGGTAGTAATATCTAATGAATAAATAACGACAGTCATTTACAAAAACTGTTTTATTAGTATTGATAAATATGATCTTAAGATAAAGTCCCTGAAATAACGCGGTAAACGTAGTCGAACAAATACACTTAATACCATATACTGCAGCTGTGCAATTTGCGCAGTCAAATTGCATTGACCGTATAATCATTTGTGATATACAGTCACTGATCATATATATCTCCTTGTTTATGACGTTGACAATACGTTTCCGTAGAGTTTTATTTATGACGTCATTAGAAATACAGGTTCGCAGACTTTTACGTTGTTCACTCCAAATTAAAAAATGATGGTTTTTACCCTAAATATCTTATTTGGAAGAGTTGTAAGAGTTGCAGTATATAAAGAATAACCATACATTTTCTCAAAATATAAATTTTATTTGTACTCGGAACAGGATAGAAATGCTCGACAAAGTCCCGCTTTCTATCTGTTTCTAAGCCTTGTACAAATAAAATTTATATTTCGAGACAATGTATGGGTATTCTATATGCATCAATAAATTATGTCTATAATGGAAGACGTCAGTCTATATATAAGATTAGAACTAAGTTGTAAAGTTTTCCTTGTCTCTTTGAACTTAGTCTAACCTGTGACATAATATATATATTGTAAGTATACTATTCCTAGGTAAAACCGCGTAAACGAAGTAATGTATATTTTGTTGTATTTAGGGATGGATCCTTGGACAATTTGGGCCATCAATTTTTTTTATTATTTTTGATTTTTTTCTTCGGACAAGAAAAGGGGTGGGCTTATCTCGCCCCGTTAACACAAAGATAACAATAGGTAATTACTGGGGGTTTGGGCTTATTATTGCCTTTATTCTATCAACTTCAATCTAAATTTCTTTGCCACTTCTTCTATGTCTTTCTTTCTTTCTTCCGTAAGCAAGAAGTTCCTTTTGTTTTTAACATCTAGCCAATGTTCGTGACTCCTCATTATTTCTCTGTGGAAGACTGGGTCTTTTTTTTTTCTCTACTAGTTTATAAGGAGCCAGTTGTTCTGAATAGACTAGAATGAAATTCTCTTCCTTTTTCACCCGGAAAAAATAGGTCTGTTGAGGTAAGTCTATAGAGTTACTTTATCTACCCTGGGTCTTGAATGTCGTAGTGGCTTTGTTTTTTCCAATCCTGAAGTGGTCGTAAGTCGACCCTCAGCACCTGTTAAGCAGGCGGGATCTTTAGGTTTCGTACAGGGTAGGTTTCTGTCTACGAGGGAAGTTTCTGTCGGCTGTTCCTTTGCGTTTGATTCCTCTGGGGGTTGAGTGGAAGTCTCTACCAGCTCACCGGTGTTGATGGTGTAAACGGCGTCGGGTCATTATATATGTCTTCTTTTTGAGCGGTATTTCCTATCTCATTAAGCGATGGCATGGATTTCCTAGCTATGAATGCTTCAAGGCGGCGATTGCTTCTGTCAGCCCTGGCTTTCGATGACCTTTACCGAGTCTTTGTTGTTGTGGTTGGTGTCTCGACATGCTCCACATTTTTGGATTTCTTCCATCTTATTACGAGTTTGTAATTTCCTTTCTGTGCTGAGAGATCCAAGTCGGCGGTTTGATGCTCAAGCAAGTGTAGGATTGATTGATTGATTGTTGGTTGCTTAACGTCCAGTGGCAAATATTTCATGCATATTCAGGACGAGAACAAATTAACAATAAATACAATAGGTAGGTTCTGTAATAGAGGCGGCTGGGATTGAGGTCGGAGAAATTTAGACTGCCACGGGAAATGAGGGTATATTGGATAGGGACAGAAATTTAGCCTTGCAACAGGTCACCTACGGACCCCTCAAAGAGTGTTGCAAGGGTTCTTAACGTGCAAAGAGCGTGGCACTCTCTTTACACGAGGCATCGGATTTAACGTCCCCATTCTGACCGGACGTGGCTGCAAATTTGTACATCCCGCACAGCCAAACGGACGCCCCACTTTAGCACGGGTTTTACTGCCGGTCGGAGGAAGACCAATGGTGACCATACTTCTATTCCCCAGTCACCCTTGGGGGGAGCAAGTGTAGGATGGTAAAAATATCTCCAGTTAATAGTGGAGGTGAGCATGGCTCAATACTCGTTGTCATATCAATTCAGCTGACATGTTTAACTAATTGCATTGGATTAGTCAAATAAAATATATATTTCGAGACAATGCATGCTTATTCCGTATGCATCAATAAATTATGTCTATTATGGAAGACGTCAATCTATATATAAAATTAGAACTAAGTTGTAAAACTTTCCTTGTCTCTTTGAACTTAGTCTAACCTGGGACATACTAGAATCATGTGCAAAACAGTGTAGCCGAGACCATTGATTGGCGCGCTAAAATATCCCATTGACTGGGTCAGATTAGGTGAACGTTCGTCTGTAACGCCCACAACTAACGACGTATTTATTATAAACATTTAAACTGTGGGGTTGCCAAAGGGTCTCAGTATATATACGAACTACAGTGCACAGTATATTATATACATATTTTATTTGGGATCATAAAATGTACGAAGTCGTCCATTACTATGTAAATTGGGTCGATTAAAAAAAAAGCTGAATATGTTTCTGTTGCCAAGGATTTTTCACAAGTATAGTAGTTAGCAGAAAAGTTCACCAAACTATACATTTTACCTATTCAAAAACGTAAGTGCAAATTTCACAAGGCTTGATCCAAATTGCCTTTTTACTGTCTAATAACTTGCAAGTACGAAAAAGACAAGAAAGAAGTATATTTTGTCTATATGTTTTGTGTTTGCACACTTTTTAAAGTTGATCATGCATTCGTTCTAAAATAAAATTTTGACCAGATAAAAGTTTAAAGATGACATAATTGGACAACCGCAATTGTTAAATCGCTTTGACGTCCGAAAAAAAAGATAATAATCAACACATGCATTGTAACTTTTAAAGCCAGTTACATTGTACACTGAACTGCGGCGAAGCTTAGCGAAAGGTCGTGCAACATAATCAGTCAAACAAACTTTATTAGATTAACTCGTTAAGGAACGATCGTTTTCATTGGTCAATTCAAACCTTCGACCTCACACCTGCGAAAATAGAACACGCGTACTGTAAAGCTGAATGGACTGATCAGTATTCACGTAGCCGGTCAAGGTCGTTAAAAACTTCCATCGTCGTATTCACGTACATGATTGTGTTCTTGATTATCCCATGGCAATTCTAGCTTTTATACATGTGCATGTAAAATTTTAAACTTTAATCTTAACAGTCACGTCGAAATATTTAATTCAACTGTCTCCTCTCAATTGGTTCTGGATTAAGGGAGCTACCATTTTATTTTGATTGGGGGTGGGGGACTTGGATGAAACATTTTGTCCTGCATTTTTTTTAGTTGTTATCTCTGTCCTGTCTTTCTATTTTTCAGTCTGTTAGGTCCTGACTATATTTATTAGTTTATCCTGATTTTTTTTACATAAATCGTCATCCTGCCTTTTTTTTGTCAAGTTGCTCACCCTGCCTTATCTTTTATTCAATGGACTTGATGAATTAACGTTGTACTTGAAATGAAACCGTACTTAGATATAAGAAGATGTGGTATGAGTGCCAATGAGACAACTCTCTATCCAAGTCAAAATTTATAAAAGTAAATCATTATAGGTCACAGTACGGTCTTCAACACGGAGCCTTGGCTCACACCGAACAGTAAGCTATAAAGGGCCCCAAAAAAATTATAGTGTAAAACCATTCAAACGGGAAAACCAACGGTCTAATCTATATAAAAAACGAGAAACGAGAAACACTTATGAACCACATCAACAAACGACAACTACTGAACATCAGATTCCTGACTTAGGACAGGTGCAAACAAATGCAGCGGGTTTAAACGTTTTAATGGTACCAAACCTTCACCCTTTTTCTGAAACAATAGTGTAACATCACAACATAGAAAGACACACTATAAAATATCAACTGAAATAGCTTAACTCAATCAAAGGACATATTTACACCATTGAACATACACTGAACAAATAAATTTAACCTATGACACAATGTAAATGTAAAATAAATAAACTAAGGGAAGAATAATAAAAGTAACATGTTATATCGGTAAGAAATGTTAAACATTTAAAGAAAAACAATATGCTCGAACAAAAATACCATCCATTTGCAATAACTTTAAACACAGGTAAATGAAAATAATTATGTTGTTAGGTATACGTGTACAGTACCAATAGAGAAAGGAAATATTTTTACAAAATAAATAATTTTGAATACAAAGTAAATAAACTAAGGGAAGAATAATAAAAGTAACATGTTATATCGGTAAGAAATGTTAAACAATTAAAGAAAAACAATATGCTCGAACAAAAATACCATCCATTTGCAATAACTTTAAACACAGGTAAATGAAAATAATTATGTTGTTAGGTATACGTGTACAGTACCAATAGAGAAAGGAAATATTTTTACAAAATAAATAATTTTGATGTTCATAGTACAAAGTGAAAATTTATAGTTATACCAAACACTTATCAAAGCTGGTATATAGACCAGATATAACCCTGAATAACATTAAATAACAAAAAAGCAATACAATTAGTATCAACAGGTTAAATAAACAAGAAAGTACGATTTGAGAGTACTCGCAGTTACTGACAGCTAGTTAAAAGCCAAAAAAATTAATAATAAAAAATCATGCATCAGAGACTAAATTCAACTAAAACACATCCCAGGGATTTAGTATTTTAACGTCATGGACAGTCAAAGAAGACATGACTAGTGCAATGCCAAAAATAAATGTATCGACAGACAGTAGGATAGTTAGGAGTTTAACTTCTTTATAGATCTAAACGAACGTGGGTGTGTCTTTATACATCCCACTTGAAAAAAAATACAAATTTAGGTATGTTTTAATTTGCTGATGACAAAATCGATATTAGTGCCAATGTAAACTATGTTCAAAGATCTAATTACAACATTGGTAAGATAACCTTTACTAATAAGCCTGTTTAAAGGTTCGATGAGTTTACACGGATCACATAGTGATTTCCGCGCTTTAAGTACAATATTACCGTAAAATTTAGGATGTGAAATACCGTTTTTAATCAGTTTTCTACAAGTACAGCCAAATTTACTAATCAAATCTTTGTATCTATGAAAGAACTTAGCAAAAGTTTAACTACAAAAATAAGCAAATTACATACTAAAGATATTGCTCGATTTTTATAGTAAATGGGTTTGTGTTATAAACTGTCATGTTCATTATTCATATTCTTTCATAAGTTTTAGGATAGTGTGATTTTTTTTCTGATTTAGTTTACTTGATTTTGAAAAAAAAATCCCGAAATTCTAAGTAAATTCAGAACATGTAACAAGCCATGCTTTGTTTAGAGAAAAAATGGAGATGGCAAACCATGGCACAGTGGAAGGAAATGTACTTTATAAACTCCAGCGATATACTTCCTTAATTTATAATTAACTGTTTTGCTATCCTCGGTTGAAAATTATATATTGTAAATATTTAAATAGTTGCATAGAAAACAACCAGTTTTAAACAGTGTGGTTATTCACTAAATGTATTGATAAAAGGTGACTCCATTTTTGTACACACTTTTACAGTAGTCATCCTTAATTTCTTAATATTTCGTTTATAAGTTTATCATACATGTATGATTTTGTATTTCATTTTAAATACGCACGCATGCCACACGTTACTTTGGCGGATAGTTCAACAGTGTTATGCAAAGCTCCATTCTTACGGTATGAAATTAAAGGATAAATTTTCAACCAATTAAAATCGAAAACAGTACATTTATATAGTTCCTTATAAACTACGACATTTCTCACAAGTATTTATTTATTTTTTAGTTCCACACATGCAAAAATAAAATCTTCGCCGATGAAACATTTCAAACCTTTTTACACCAACATGCCTTCACTGAATTCATTTGAGTTTCGTGGTGACCATGATAGTATATTGCATAGTACATCTATATTCACGTGCACACATGTAGTCAGGTGGTTTTCTGGGTTTTGTAGAAAACACAAATAAAACACTTCTCAGGTTTTGGATTCGTTTTTTATTACGACATGGAAAATAATTGGTAACAAAAAAGACCCTGTAATGAAATATAAAATTATAAACAACGGTTCAAGAATAATAGCATGAGTACAATGAGAACTCAATGAATTTCCAATTAAAATAAATTATACAAGTTCTGAACCTTTTCTCTATTTCATTATTCTAACAAAATATGTTAATGTAATATAATTGAATTAAATCGCTTATTGATTTTACAAACTATTCAATTATGTAATAATGTCTTGAAAATATAATTACATGCAAAACTAGATTCTACACGAAACAAACTAAATGACTAATGTTAAGCAAAGGCAAAGCAATTAAAAATAAGCATAAGCAAACAAAATAATAAGCATTGATAGCAAAAACATATAAAACCAAACTCAATGCTTACCTCACACTTAGATGCAAAGGTCAAAACAATAGGATCAAATCAAACATGACTCATCAAAACATGGTAACACCTGAATATAAAATAAAGATTATAACTATTGTGCCCCAAAATGCACAATTACAAAAATACACAGATTGTACATGAAATCCTACTTTTAATTAATATTTACTAGTTTTATGATAAAAATACTATTCAGATAGTTTATATTAATATTTAATGGTTTTAAAAAGTAACTCATATAAGTTTTAATACTTTTATAGTTTTTAACCATTTAATCAATTTAGCTGTATTATCCGTCAGTCAATCAATCATTCATCTCAAATACACTAGAATTATTAAATAAATGATAATTAAATATATGTTAGTAATCATAACTACCTAAATGAAGAATATGGTGACAAAGTAAACAGTAGCTGAATATAAAGTCTCCAATGGACATCAGCATATAAATTATTTTGTATATCTCAAAATGTCTGCCTTCATGCTGAATACAAATCAATAGGAATACTTTTTTAAAGAACAAAGATTTCCCTCCACAGATATACATGTGATTTAAATGACCAATGAGAAAGGACAAAGTGACCAACACTGACCATCAATACAATGAATAAACATTTAAAGGGTTCACATACCAGAACTCAGGTCATCACCTTAATTAGCATATAAAGATAAACAAAACAGCATGTTTTCATTCTTTTATTATTGAAATAAGATACTATTCTGTAAATAAGTAAACAGATCCAATAAATATGTTCCAATGGATATTTTATTATCAAAACAGTAATTTCAAACAGATCAAAGTACAATCCTGAAAGTTAAAAATATATATATACAAACCATTGAAATTTCACCCTTCCACATACTCCCCCCAGCTGGAAAATGACGTCTCGTCATTTCAGGTTGGAGCATGTGAAGAAGACTTCAGTATCTCTAAGATGGTCTTTCCTGCCTCAGACTGCAATCCTTCCAAAAATCCTCTGTCTGACAGTGAAGTGATGCATTGCACCTTCTTTTCCCAATCTGGTAAAGGTGGCCTCTGTGCAGACTTTGTCATATCGAAATCTCCTGATCTGAACCGGAGGGGAACTCTCTGTTCTCTGGTGGAACGACGTGGTTGAACTGGTTGCTCATCATCAGATTCTATATCAGTATTCTGAGCTGTTTCCTCATCAGGCGGTTCCTCCTAAACAGTCTCATCAGTTGAAGCGCTTCCTTCCTGTACGAGTTCGACATCATCTGTGATACCAGTAGTACCCACAGATGACTGGGCGTCCCCTTCTGTCTCACTCGTATCTAAGACATCCTCATCAGCATAACTAGGTACACTATGTTCAGTGATGGATGGATCACTGACAATACCAGTTCTTGTGATGACTCTATAATCCCATTCTGACTCCTCATCTGAATCTTCCTTTGAGTCAGGTTGGATAGTTCCCAGTTCCTGTGTCCTCTTGGCGGGTCTCTTTCTTGGTCTTGGCTTCGGTTTTTGAGTAGATGTAGGTTCTGGTGTGTCGCTAAGAAAACCAATTGGTAGCAGAAGGTTACGGTGGAGCGTCCTTGTACGTCCCTCTCCATTTTCCTTCCTGACCATGAATACAGGGATTTCTTCATTCTGTTGGCTTAGCACTGTGTAGGGATCCTGTTCCCATCTATCCGCCAACTTGTGTTTCCCTTCAAAGCTAACAATCTTTACCAATACTCTATCTCCTACTTTTACTGTCCCTCCTCGAACTCTGTTGTCGTAATGACTCTTTTGTTGATTTCTGGCCTTATTTGCAGATGTAATTGCCAACTCATGTGCCTGTGTGATTCTGTCCTTCAGATCTCTTATATACTTTGTTGTTATCTCTTGTTGGTTCTCTCTCAAGCCTAAAGCTGCATCAATCGGTAACCTAGGGTTACGTCCAAACATCAACATGTAAGGCGACTGTCCTGTACTCTCATGTCTGGTGGAGTTGTAGGCGAAAACCAATGGACTGACATGACTCTTCCAGTTGATCTTCTTGCTGGTGTCTAGTGAGCCAAGCATATCACACAGCGTTCGGTTGAACCGCTCACATTGTCCATTTCCCATAGGATGATAACTGGTAGTTCTTGACTTGGACATTCCTGTGATGGCACATAGTTCTTTAATGATGGTACTTTCAAAATTTGCCCCCTGGTCCGAATGAATTCTGTCTGGTATTCCATAGTGTAAGATGAAATTGTTGTAGAACGCATCCGCAACTGTCTTGGCTAGCTGGTTCTTGGTTGGAATTGCCATAGCAAATCTGGTGAAGTGATCCGTGATGACTAATAGGTGTTGATAGCCTCCCTTAGATGGTTCAAGGGTTAGGAAGTCCATGCACACTAACTCCAATGGTGATGTCGTTGATATACTTACCAATGGTGCACGTTGGTTGGTAGGTGACTTCCTACGGACACATCTTCCACATTCTTCTATCCATGTCTGTATATCCTGGTGCATTCCGGGCCAGTAAAACCTATCCTTGATCAGTGATGTTGTTCGATCTCTCCCAGGATGTCCCATGTCATTGTGTATGGCTTCCAACACAGTTGGTACATGTTCTAGGGGTAGTACCAGTTGACATCTTTCTTCTTCATTTACAAAGGTTACACGATGAAGTACCCCGTCATACAGTTTCAGATGGTTAAACTGCTTTAAGTATGGATTCGGTCCAATGTCTTTCCTGGTAGGCTTGGTGTTTTCTCTGACATACTCCACAATACGTTGTATGTCAGGATCCTGCTCTTGAACTTTCCTCCAGTCAACAATGTTACCAATTCCACTGCCTCTTAAATCAAGATCTTTCAGTACGGTATCTGATGTCAACGTAAGACTGTCAATGTAAGATTCTGGCATGGCTACATTACAGATGGCTTGGATGGAATCACTGCTGATGGGTAACCGACTAAGTGCGTCCGCATCTGCGTTGGTTCTGCCAGGTCTGTACTTGATGTCAAAAGTGAATGCTGCCAATCCTGCTAGCCAACGGTGTCCCGTGGCGTCTAACTTCGCAGATGTTAATACATAGGTGACTGGGTTGTTGTCCGTGTACACTGTGAAGTCTTGTCCATATAGGTAATCTCTAAACTTGTCACATACTGCCCATTTCAATGCCAGAAATTCTCTATTGTGTGGTGGATAGTTGCGTTCAGCCTTGTTGAGTCCTCGACTGGCATAACTGATGACTCTCTTCATTCCCTGTTGTTCTTGATAAAGAACTGCTCCTAAAGCATCTCCAGAGGCATCAGTATGAAGCTCATATGGTAATGAACCATCTGCATAACCAAGGATTGGTGCACTTACAAGGTGGTCTTTCAGTGTCTGGAATGCCTGTTGGTGTTCCTCATTCCACTTCCACTCTCTGGATGGCTTGGCTTTGTGCTTCTTCTTGTTTGGGACGGAATCAGGTCGGTCAAAGGTCGGCTGACTTTGCTGAAAGTCTGTATGAAGCGTCTGTAATAGCCGACAAATCCCAAAAATCTCCTGACTTCCTCTGGACTAGTTGGTGTTGGCCAGTCCACTACCTTCTCTGTCTTCTGTTGGTCTATTTCCACTCCTTCTTCTGATACCACGTGTCCTACATACTTTACCTTGCGTTTGAAGAATTCGCACTTGCTGGGGTTCAGCTTCAGATTGGCCTCTCTTATCCTCTCAAATACTAGGTGTAGATTATGTAAGTGCTCCTCGTATGTCCTACCATAAATGATGATATCATCAATAAAGATGCAACATATCTTCAGGTTGTAATCTGCAAGGCAATCCTCCATCAGTCTCTGGTATGTCGCGGAGAGTTTGTTAGTCCAAAAGGCATCCTGTTGAACTCGTAAAAGCCAAGAGGTCCTACAGAGAAAGCAGTACGCTCCTTGTGGTCTTCCAAAATCTCCACCTGATGGTAACCGGACTTCATATCGACGACTGAGAAGAATTTGCTGCCAGCACAGCAATCTAAAAGCTCTTCTATTCTCGGGAGTGCGTAACTATCATGTTTACTCTGCTTATTTAACTGTCTGTAATCCACACACATTCTTAGCTGTCCATTCTTCTTCCTAACGATGACAATAGCTGATGCGAATGGTGAATGTGATGGTCTGATAACTCCCATGTCCAAAAGTTGTCTTAGATGAGATCTAACTTCATCGTACATCGATGGTGGAATTCTTCTGTACCGGTGTTTAAATGGAGTCTCATCAAGCAGATCTATTCGATGTTTAACTCTGTTGGTGTGTCCTAAATCGTTGTCTCCTCTACTGAAAATGTCTGTGTATCTCAATATGAGTTGTTTCCCTTCATCAAGTTGTTCATCTGTGAGATCACTTTGGGTAATATCCACTTCTTCAAGTAACTTCAGATCTATTTCAGTTGTATTGGTTGGTTGTGCTTCAATAGTAACTGGTTGAACTTCACAAATTATGGCCTTTGGTGGTATGGTTATGGTTCTGGTTGTGATGTTTGATAGTCTGACTGTAAGTGTTCCATTTTCTTTGTACTGATAAGTCCTAAAAGTTGGTTCTGCATCAATTTCTCTGTAATCTTCTGCCAAAATAGTTGATTGAATGATAGATGGAGTTGTTTTGTAAGGTATCTCTTTGTCATAGTAGCCAGGAACTTCAGTGGTGGTATTCGGAAGTATGGTTATTCTTTTACATGTTCTTATTACTGCTACTCTGTTGTTGTTCTTGGTTAACTCTTTTTCCCTCATTGCTAGACATCTGAAGGTCATATACCATGGCGTTGTTAAAGCGGCATTCTGCAAGTATCTTGCTCCATATTCCTCCTTCAGATAAAACATCATGTTGTCTAAGATGTTGGTTCCAATTAAAGCTGGTATGTGTTGGCTATATCTGCTATCAGGTACTACTAGCATTACATGTTGGTTAGTGGTGTTGGTATTTCCAGGTATCTTGATATTAACCTCTATATATCCTGTATAGGGCAGCTGAGATCCTCCAGCGCATTCAACTTCCAAGATGCTATCTAGATTTTTCAATGGTACTGTTGCTGATAAGTGTTCGGTATAAAATGATTCTGCAATGGTCGATACGGTTGACCCTGTATCCAATAATGCTGATAATTTCCTCCCATTCAAAAATATAACAGTCTCAGTAGGTGTTCCAAATATTCCAGGTGGTGTCTTCACTATGTTGTTACTTACCTTGGGACCTGATGTTCTTCTGTTCAAGCCTAATGCTGGCCCCTCATAGGCATAGGCTTCCCGGAGTTTAAATTCTGTCTTGTGTGATATAATCTTACACGGCATCCTATCTGTATGTGCCCTTCTTGACCACAACGTCTACAAAGAATTGGGTAGTTTTGTTGATTGGTTTCTCCTTGTTGGTAATTTGGCTGCTGTTGTTGAGGTTGATTTGCAGTTTGTTGTTGTCCTTGCTGTCCATTGTACCATTGTCTACCTCTATTATAACCTCTGTTATTGCCTCTATAACCTCTAAAGTTGTTACCTCTATAATACTGTGACTGTTGCTGTGGTTGCTGCTGTTGTTGTTGTTGCTGTCTCAGTTCTGTAAACTCGTGAGTTAATTGCTGTACCATTCCCTTCAGCTCTTCATAATCATGTGTGTCTTCTTTGGTGGTAATAGTTGCTGCTTTGGCTGTATAAGGTTTCAACTTCTTTGGTTGATGATCTTTCTCCAATTGACGCAATGCTACTCTTAGTTGGTTGAAATCTTTAATGGTGTCATACTTGTATCCACTTATATCCTTAAGTTCTTGTCGTAAACCTGTCCATAACATGGCGTGTAACATGGAATTCATCTCTTTGTAACTGACAATGCCTGTCTCAAGTCCTTTTCCTAATATATCCTGTAATCTATTACTCCAAGTAGTAACATCTTCATCATCTCGCTGCCTTGCACTATAAAATTCCGCAAGTAGTTGTTCCTTGTTGTCTATGGTTCCATATACACTGTCTAATACTTCTATTATTTGGTCAATAGGTTTCTCGAATCCTTGATGCATGACTAATCTAGCTGCTGATCCTGTAAGTGATCGACGAATTGCAAATTCCTTTTGCTGTTTGCTGTAAGATGGATCCATGAGCATCATCTTAACATCATAACGCCAAATATCAAATGGTAAATCTCCTTTGTTGTCTCCACCCGAAAAGCATCGAACCTTAGGCGGGTTAGAAAATACTGTAGTTGATTTTTCTTGTTGTGGTTTCTCTTCTGGTTTTAACTTAGGAACTGTTCCTGTTTCTTTTGATGGTAGTGTCAAACTCATCTTGGTTGGTTTATTTTCCTTCTCAGATAATTTCTCTGCGTTGAAGTGACTTATCCATTCATTCAGTTCCTTTGCATTACTTCCTTTTGGTTTGAGACCCATGGATTCAAATGTATCAAACATCATCTTGAATTGTAATAATTCTTTCAGCGTAGGACTGGTTGGTTGCATTGGACTAGTTGGTTTCGTATCACCAGGTGAATCGCCTCCACTAGCCATGATGACGTCTTATACCAAATATCAAATACCAAATATCAAATATCAAATATGTACAAATAATCAAATGATAAACAAGTCTGAAAATAAAATACAACAATGTATGAACTGAATAATCAGTGTTGTATACTTACCTCTAGATCTGTAACTTTAATAAATTAAAGTCTGCAACACGGTCACCGATATAACCTAAATATACGGTCTACGCTCGCAATATCTACGTAAGTAATAAGTACTGAATCTAGTAAAACGTAAAAAAAAAATAATAATAGCCCACTCTGTATCAGTATAAACTAAGTATGTATCTGTAGATCTGATTTAATACTCTAATACAAGTCAAATAACTAAAACTCCTAGACTCTAAACTTCACTCAATGTATTAAACCTATCCCTAGCCTTCACACGAAAGAAAAGCAACTACCTGAATCCTATAGATGTATAAATATCAGCTGAAATTCAAAGTGACAATCAGGTATGCAGGGTGTGTAAGGTATTAGGTGATAATGATGTTAGTTTAAGGATACATGCAAGTGTGCGGATTCATTCAACTTTTGAACAAGTCGAGTCGTTTTATATCAATTATTAAGTAATTAAAATTTAATTTCTGAAATGATATAACTTTTAAAGTTCAAATACTCAAATCAAATTTTAAACTTTTATTTTTTAAATAAAGTTTAAGTAATTCAACCTTTTAAATTGCTATTATTTAAATCATGTACATGTATACACACTCAAGACAATAATAACAAAAGTCTAAGCATAAAACATCACAACATGTAAACATACACAAAAGCAACACAATATACAATATACTACACTACAACATATAACATATATATAATACCATATGCATACCAAGTATCAACACACAAAATATATATAAACACTAATATAGCACTATATTCTATGCGGTGTAAGTGTAAATGTTTGTGCGTATGTATGTGTATGTGTACGCAAGTTCACTGTGTGATTGTGAAACTAAATCGAACTAATCTTGTTTGCAGAGAAAAAAAAAAAAAATCTGCAAACTAAACTTAGTCTCAGGGTTTTCTAATCCTATAATATATATATCGCAATGTCTCAACTACATATACCCATCATTATGTTAATGCATGTAAATAATTTTGAAAAAAAATGTATGCAAATTAACAAAGTGTAACTAAGTTTAATGTATGTAAAAAAATAATCAGAACTGTATGCTGTAATGTATTGTAAACCCAAAAAAAAAATGTTTGTTTACATTAGACACGTGTACTTCCGGTTCCGGTCGTCGGTGACCTTGAACTTGGGTGTGTCTGTGGGTGGGGTCGGGTACGTAGGGGGTGACACTAATGTACAAACTCTATCAGAGACTAAGTTTACAAGTTTCACAAAACGTGTAAAAAAAATTCACAAAGTTCCAATCAAATGTCTATACTCAACACGGTATACTATAATCTAAGTGTTATTCAAGTGATAACGATGTGGCTCACTTGTTTAACAAAATAACAACACTGTTTCTAATGCACAAATTTTGACAGTCCAAATCGCTGTTGTTTTCTCAAAATTACTATGTTATTTTACATAAATATCAACAAGTACTTCAAGCGGTGTTACACAAACATATAAGTAGATGAATGTAATACATAAAATATAAATGCAAACCTTTACAATGAATAAATATATCAATCTCAAGCAGTCAGTCTCTGCAGAAAACAAGTTTTTCCTTTTTCCGGATGTTGTGTAAATTTCGGTCGAGTGCACTGCTAAAAGATGTTATGCTGATCCCGGGCTAGTTTCCAATATTTCCGATAATCACAATAATCACGTTGGGCGCCATTTGTAGTCAGGTGGTTTTCTGGGTTTTGTAGAAAACACAAATAAAACACTTCTCAGGTTTTGGATTCGTTTTTTATTACGACATGGAAAATAATTGGTAACAAAAAAGACCCTGTAATGAAATATAAAATTATAAACAACGGTTCAAGAATAATAGCATGAGTACAATGAGAACTCAATGAATTTCCAATTAAAATAAATTATACAAGTTCTGAACCTTTTCTCTATTTCATTATTCTAACAAAATATGTTAATGTAATATAATTGAATTAAATCGCTTATTGATTTTACAAACTATTCAATTATGTAATAATGTCTTGAAAATATAATTACATGCAAAACTAGATTCTACACGAAACAAACTAAATGACTAATGTTAAGCAAAGGCAAAGCAATTAAAAATAAGCATAAGCAAACAAAATAATAAGCATTGATAGCAAAAACATATAAAACCAAACTCAATGCTTACCTCACACTTAGATGCAAAGGTCAAAACAATAGGATCAAATCAAACACGACTCATCAAAACATGGTAACACCTGAATATAAAATAAAGATTATAACTATTGTGCCCCAAAATGCACAATTACAAAAATACACAGATTGTACATGAAATCCTACTTTTAATTAATATTTACTAGTTTTATGATAAAAATACTATTCAGATAGTTTATATTAATATTTAATGGTTTTAAATATTAACTCATATAAGTTTTAATACTTTTATAGTTTTTAACCATTTAATCAATTTAGCTGTATTATCCGTCAGTCAATCAATCATTCATCTCAAATACACTAGAATTATTAAATAAATGATAATTAAATATATGTTAGTAATCATAACTACCTAAATGAAGAATATGGTGACAAAGTAAACAGTAGCTGAATATAAAGTCTCCAATGGACATCAGAATATAAATTATTTTGTATATCTCAAAATGTCTGCCTTCATGCTGAATACAAATCAATAGGAATACTTTTTTAAAGAACAAAGATTTCCCTCCACAGATATACATGTGATTTAAATGACCAATGAGAAAGGACAAAGTGACCAACACTGACCATCAATACAATGAATAAACATTTAAAGGGTTCACATACCAGAACTCAGGTCATCACCTTAATTAGCATATAAAGATAAACAAAACAGCATGTTTTCATTCTTTTATTATTGAAATAAGATACTATTCTGTAATTAAGTAAACAGATCCAATAAATATGTTCCAATGGATATTTTATTATCAAAACAGTAATTTCATACAGATCAAAGTACAATCCTGAAAGTTAAAAATATATATATACAAACCATTGAAATTTCACCCTTCCACACACACATGATACGATCTTTCGGGGACAATTTGCTCGTTTATGACACGTTATTTCTGAATGACCAAACGCTTAGCTACTTTATTTTCGTTTTATAGCATGAAAACAATAAAAGAGGAATGTGCAACCCATCATAAATTTGAAATGGATCAGTATTATGAGATCCTTATTATAAGTAACTACGACATTGTCAGGATAATAACCTAGCGTCAATATGAAAGAAATTAAAGTGGTTCATACATTCATCCGTATAAAAGCGGCACATGTATTTTATTTTATCCTTATATTTTTCATAGTACGGTACAAGTGCTGCATGCATAAAGATTATTACTTAACACAAATTATTAGTATAATATTTCGACCCCTCTATTTGAAATTCACAAAATACTTATTTAATTATTTCGACCAAAAATCATTGTTTTTTACGTTCGTAGTAACGTAGTACATTCCATTGTCGGTCACCTGTGTCAATTCACGTGCACACTACAATGTATTTAAATCTTTCGGCCAATGAAATGAGACGTTACAAGTTGTTTGTTTGTGATACGCCAGAATGTTATCAATGAATTATCAATCGCTAAACTTGACTGCATTTCAGTGTAAATCCTTTTTTTTTTTGGCTGAAAGAACGTGCGATATCATAAAAATTCATTATCAAAACATAACGAAAACACAAGTAAAGAACGTTTAAGTATTCAATATAAATCAAAACACAAAGGTTATTCCTGATTAGTTTTTCGAATTATTTTATTTAGGCGTTGAGACCCTTTGGTGACCCCACAGTTTAAATGTCTATAATAAATACATCGTGAGTTGTGGGCGTTACAGACGAACGTTCACCTAATCTGACCCAGTCAATGGGATATTTTAGCGCGCCAATCAATGGTCTCGGCTGCACTGTTTTGCACATGATTCTATATATATTGTAAGTATACTATTCCCAGGTACAACCGCGTAAACGAAGTAATGTATAATATTTTGTTGTATTTAGGGATGGATCCTTGGACAATTTGGGCCATCAATTTTTGATTTACAGTACATCACTAACACAGATTTAGAGGGAGCATCATTTTACTACATATCACATAATGTAGGGTATCTGATTGGTTCGTTGATAAGCGGGGTTCTGATTGGTAGATGTGATTGCAATTTCCTGTTGTTTATAACGATGTGCATCTATGGTATTTCTGTATTCGCCATACCGTGGTGTTTCCTGTCATCAATAATGTTAGTAGCGCAGGCAATTAGGGGCCTATCAGGAGGCCTTCTAGATACAGGTAAGTCCATTAAAAATATTTAGAAAACTTGTCACTTAACGAATAATACAGATTGCACACGACACTTGTTTTCATCAGATATACGAGGGGGGCAAGGGGGTTTAACTGTTATGCTGTTTTGGGGCAATTTAATTCTTTAATTGTTATCTGTTATTCTGAAAATATAATTCCTGTTATCTGTTATTGTCTTATTCCTTGTTAGCTGTTATTGGACTATTAGTTTTTTTGTTATCTGTTATTGTGAGAATGTATTTGCTGTTAACTGTTATTGAAAATTGAAATGTTAGCATTTTGACAGCCAATCTTCAGTAGAAATTGAATAGGGATCTTTCCACTAGTAACCTGGTGGTCCCGTATTCGGAGAAGGATTCAATTAACATATTTATAGACATTTGAATAGGTTTACAGTACACTAGTCATTTTGGGGCCCTTTATGGCTTGCTGTTCGGTGTGAGCCAAGGCTCCGTGTTGAAGACCCTACTTTGACCTATATTAATGGTTTACTTTTACAAATTGTGACTTGGATGGAGAGTTGTCTCATTGGCACTCATACCACATATTCTTATATTTAATCACAGACCATCAAATAAACATTTTAATATTAGTTTGGTCCAGGACCATTAAAGTATATATTATTATTATCCTTTGTAATAAATTCCTTTTTCTATGAACATGTATTTAGAATTATCTTGATTTTTACGTATAGGGATAACGATCCTTGTTTCTCTGTATGTGCATATTAAATTCGAACAATTCTTTTAAAATATTACAAAAATTCGTAAGGGTTCCGCGGAAACCAGTACTAGTGTCTCGCCTACTTTTGATGTTAGTCGCAGGCTCAACAAAATGGGTAATGTGTCCATGGGACACAGATGCTGCCCCCACTAGCATATCATATACAGTTATAAAGGGACATAACTGAAGAACAGTAAAAGTGACCCTACCCAAATTTGTACTTGATCTGAGTTTTGTGGTAATACGTATGGTATATAAGTTTCATAAAATTTGGTTGATACAAACTAAATTTACTCGGAGAACGGAAACGAAAAATTCAGCAATTTTTTCATTTGTAAAGGGGCATAACTCTAGAAAATTTAGCGACAACCCAAAGTTCAAAGTTGATCTGTATTTTGTGGTAATAAGCATTGTGTACAAGTTTCATAGCAGTTGGTTGAGGCAAACTAAAGTTAGAGAACGGAAATTAAAAAATCAGCAATTTTTATACGACCGCAAAAAAATTTTTGTGGTCGTATATTGGTATGACGTTGGCGTCGTCGTCGTCGTCGTCGTCGTCGTCGTCGTCGTCGTCCGAAGACGCATTAGTTTTCGCACTCTAACTTTAGTTTAAGTGAATGGATCTCTATGAAATTCTACCATAAGGTTCAATACCACAAAAGGAAGGTGGGGATTGATTTTGGGGGTTATGGTACCAACAGTTAAGGAATTAGGGGCCAAAAATAAGCATTTTCTAGTTTCCAGACAATAACTGTGGAACGGTGTATGGATCTCTCTGAAATTATACTACAAGTTTCCATACCACAAAGGGATGGTAAGAATTTGCTTTGGGGGGTTATGGCTCAAACCGTTTAAGAATTAGGGGCAAAAAAGGGGGAAAAACAAGGTTGTCCTGGTTAATGGACAAATACTTTAGTACAAAACATAATTTAAAGCAGTGTAAGGGAGATAAATCAAATACATCATTGAAATTATCTCCCTTACACTGCTTTTAAATTATGTATAAAGTAATGGTTAATGAACAATTAAGATAATTTAAAACAGTGTAAGGGAGGTAATCCAAATACAATGTTTTGGTTACTTCCCTTACACTGCTTGTAAATTATGTTTAAGGAAATGCATATTTATAAAGGAAGACCAGTAAAAATATCTGCAAATGTTGCATCTTTTTTTTTTACAACAAAATCCATATGAAAGATTTGACACTATATTTTAAATTCTATTATAAAATAGATTAAGTTTGCACTATGGTAAATTTAAATGGGTAATTATGGTTGCAAACTCAATTGGAAATTTGAATTGAGATTATGACCATATCTTGAGGGAAAGAATTTTTTTGGGGAAAAAAGGGGGGGTGGGTTTAATGAAATTGTGGGGGGTCAATTTTTTCTCATTTCAGATTTCAGAAATTAAAAAGAATTATTCTTCAAATATTATTTTTTTTTCAAATTTCAAATATTGAAAAATTTCAAGAAGTAATCTTTAATTGGACAGTATGGCGCATTAGATTTGTAAAATCTTTGACCACATTTATTTATTTGTTATGCCGAATCTAACCTTGTATTTAGATTTTTAATTTTGGGTCCAGTTTTCAAATTGGTCTACATTAAGGTCCAAAGGGTCCAAATTAAACTTTGTTTGATTTTAACAAAAATTGAATACATGGGGTTCTTTGATATGCTGAATCTAAACATGTATTTAGATTTTTGATTTTTGGCCCAGTTTTCAAGTTGGTCCAAATTGGGGTCCAAAATTAAACTTTGTTTGATTTCAACAAAAATTGAATATATGGGGTTCTTTGATATACTGAATCTAACCATGTATTTAGATTTTTTATTTGTGGACCCCGCTATCAAATTGGTTCATATTGAGGTCAAAAGGGTCCAAAATTAAACTTTGTTTGATTTCAACAAAAATTGAATATACGGGGTTCTTTGATATGCTGAATCTAACCATGTATTTAGATTTTTGATTTTTGGGCCCCGTTATCAACTTTGTCCACATTGAGGTCAAAAGGGTCCAAAATTAAACTTAGTTTGATTTTAACAAAAGTTGAATTCTTGGGGTTCTTTGATATGCTGAATCTAAACATGTGTTTTGATTTTTGATAATGGGCCCAGTTTTCAAGTTGGTCCAAGTTGGGGTCCAAAATTAAACTTTGTTTGATTTCAACAAAAATTGAATATATGGGGTTCTTTGATATGCTGAATCTACACATGTATTTAGATTTTAGATTTTTGGCCCAGTTTTCAAGTTGGTCCAAATTGGGGTCCAAAATTAAACTTTGTTTGATTTCAACAAAAATTGAATATATGGGGTTCTTTGATATGCTGAATCTTACCATGTGTTTAGATTTTTTATTTTTGGGCCCGCTATCAAATTGGTTCATATTGAGGTCAAAATGTCCAAAATTAAACTAAGTTTGATTTCATCAAAAATTGAATTATTGGGGTTCTTTGATATGCCAAATCTAACCGTGTTTTTAGATTTTTAATTTTGGGTCCCATTTTTAAATTGGTCTACATTAAGGTCCAAAGGGTCCAAAATTAAACTTAGTTTGATTTTAACAAAAATTGAATTCTTGGGGTACTTTGATATGCTGAAAGTTGGGCCCCGTTATCAACTTTGTCCACATTGAGGTCAAAAGGGTCCAAAATTAAACTTAGTTTGATTTTAACAAAAAATGAATTCTTGGGGTTCTTTGATATGCTGAATCTTAACATGTGTTTAGATTTTTGATAATGGGCCCAGTTTTCAAGTTGGTCCAAGTTGGGGTCCAAAATTAAACTTTGTTTGATTTCAACAAAAATTGAATATATGGGGTTCTTTGATATGCTGAATCTAGCCATGTATTTTGATTTTGGACATTGGACCATAATTGGTAAATTAAAAAAATTGAAGTTCTTAGACCACATTCTTTCTGTGTCAGAAACCTATGCTGTGTCAAATATTTAATCACAATCCAAATTCAGAGCTGTATCAAGCTTGAATGTTGTGTCCATACTTGCCCCAACTGTTCAGGGTTCGACCTCTGCGGTCGTATCAAGCTGCGCCCAGCGAAGCATTTTTTTCCATTTGTGAAGGGGCATAAGTTAACTCTAGAACGGTTGAAGTGACGCCCCCAATATTCAAACTTGATCTGTATTTTGTGGTAATAAGCATTGTGTATCAGTTTCATAGCATTTGGTTGAGGCAAACTAAAGTTAGGGAACAGAAACGAAAAATTCAGCAATTTTTAAAGGGGCATACCTTTAGAACGGTTACAGTGACACCACCAAAATTCAAACTTGATCTGTGTTTTGTGGAAATAAGCATTGTGTATAAGTATCATAACATTTGGTTGAGGCAAACTGAAGTTAGAGAACGGAATCCAACTTTTGGACGTACGGACGTATGGACGGACGTATGTACAGACGGACAAGGGTAAAACTTAATGCCCCCTCCGCTGTTTGTAATGTTAACTGAAAGAAAAACTTATTAAAGTCCATTTATACAATCATGTTATAAGTAAAATATGGAAATACAAGAAATAAATTTTTACAAAATTTCCTTCTAGATACAAGCTTTTGATCATAAACAAGCTTTGGTCAAAGTTTGGTAAAAATCCAGGATAACCAGAGTGAATGTAATGTAAACTGGCAGAAAAACTTAAGTCCATTTATAAGTGAAATACGGATAAATAGGATTATTTTTTTTTTACAAAATTTACTTCTGGATACTATTTTATGATCATAAACAAGCGTCTGTCCAAATTTGGTAGAAATCCAGGATATTTTAAGAAAGTTATTCAAACTTTAAAAAACATTAACGACAGAGTGAATATTTGTGGATGCCCCTGACGACGACGCCGCCGACGGAATGTGCGATCACTATGTCTCGCTTTGACAAAAAGGAAAACATATGGCCAGGGATACCTGATGAGGATGGCAAAGTCCTAGTTCCATACGACCAGTTAACCTAAACACCTTTTATATAATAAGGAACACAGATGCAGCTCTGTGGTTCTTTTCTAAGAATACACTCACTATTTAAATTATAAGCATGTGTGAGCTTCTTTAAAAGTACAAAAATAAATGCTGAAAAAAGTATTCCATAACAAAAAAATATTATCATACATTGAGTAAACCAATTCTAGATATATAACTCTAAAAACATGTTCATAGAAAATGGAATTCATTACAAAGGATTACAATGAGATATATACTGGATTTGTCCTGGACCCGACTGATTTTAATTATTCATTTACTGTTATCTGTTTTTATTCC